TTAAGGTGGAAGAGAAACTATCCTAAAAATGCCAGAAAAACGGGACGGAGCTTCTTTGGTGGTGGACCATATATATAAATATAAATAAATAAATAAACATTCACGAGATGGTTAGTTTCCCTTTAACGTCGTGTATAATACAAGACTTTATTTCTAACAAAAGCCATAATAGTTATTTATGTATTAAGGGCATAATAGTGATGTTTATATTCTCGAGGGCGACGAGTTAAAAAGCTCGAGGGCCTATGGTCCGAGAGCTTTTTAGTCGCCCGAGAGTATAAACATCAGTTTATGCCCGTGGTACATACACAATTTTATGTTTTACAAATAGTTTTCTTCGTCAAAATTCGTTTACAAAATAATTAATTCATTATGTTTGATCGAGTATGCGTGGTTCGAATTTGTTAATGTGATTGAAACCATCCAAACGTCAAACGTAATTTTAAATAGTTCAATTCATCGTGAATGAGCAAGAAGTTCCAGAAACTGTACGAAATAAGGCCAATCTTGTGATTTAGTAGCTATTGACAATTAATAATTGACGTTTCTACTTTTCAATGACCTGCAAATATTTTTGTTTGTTTTGTCATTAAGTATAAATGAGTTACTATGGTGATACTTAATGCCCTAGGGCATAAAGTGGTACTTTATGCCCGCGTATCACAGATATAAAGTGTGCTATTATAGGTTAGTAAGACATAAAAATCATTATAAAGCTTCTGAAAATTCTTTAGATATTTAATTTACGCATCTAAAATAGCAAGCTTAGGTTTTACCGTCGTTTCCATGGAAACTATTGTAATCTGTTCTGAACTTCATTTTATATCGTGCTCCCCGTCCCATTTTTAATGTGAATGAAAATGTTATTGGAATGTACAGTGACTTGTTTCAATTTATCTACTCTAGCTAAGAGCTCTTTTACGCGGTATGCGAGATATAGTCTGTCGTCCAATACAGCTCGCAGACTTTGGGCACTCTAAAAGAGCACAGTGAGGTACTTTTTCGGTGAAGTACTATCAGTTCCAATAAAAAAGTATCCTCGTGTAAATAGTTCCATATGACTCAATAGCCTATCAGTCCCCCAAAGTCGTAAAATCTCCGGGAGACTGAAATTTAATCGCCGATATTGTATGCGGGTGTGAACGGCTCCATAAAACGAAATGTTACAGGGATATCTAAGATATCATCGATAGAATGTTTTTAATGCTCGTTACATGAAAGATGCATCCAATCTCAGACCAAAATCTAATTAATTCAAACTACGTAACTTATTAATAAATGGGTTTCGGATTGCGATAAAGGTAAAAGAAAGATAGGTAATTAAATCGAAACATATGGCGTAACCTAAAGAAACGTGTTCACCAACTAAGGAACCATATAAAAGTAACTTTACCTCAGAAAGATACCAACAGTGTTTAATTAATATAAATACGTTTAGATGTACAAGTTACACAATTTCAGTTTGATGCCTCTGGATTTTCAAGATGAGATTTCCACATATTCCCTCATTCCTAGCTGTACCAACTATTCTAAAACACTAAAACCTCATTCTGTCAGTTACTCAAACTAATTGGGCACATTCAACGAAACAACGGGACGTTACAAAGCGTAATAGAAAAGAAGAGAAGTATTTCAAGCTGTCAGCAAGTGTTTGTTTAGTTCCTTGTGTACCAGAATATCGTAGTTAACGATGATTACTAGATTAGTAAAAACCATGAAATTAATTTTTCATTAATTAATTAATTAATTAATCGCTTGCATGAGTAGTATGTGTAAATCTGACTCTTGCAGTCTTCAAATTGAAGAGTCGAACGTCGAAAGATTTTAGAGTTATGTTTTTAAAACCACGCAAACTGTAATTGTTAGAGGAATTTCAAAACGTTGAAGTCAAGTTAACTGGGAAGCGATCCATTGTATTTTCTTTTATTATTCAATCGAATCCATAGAAAAGTAAGACACATCTGGTCCAATTTGCATGTTTTGTTAAAAGGTTACGTTTGATCCTTTGCGGTAAGGAGTTTTATCTGGCGAAAATTAATTGTGTCAAAATTCCACTTCCAACAGCTCACCAATTCACTTTCTACTCTTAGACTTTACAATTTCTGTTTTTAAGAACACTTTTCAAAAGTTGCTGAATTCACTCTTCAGTCTTGCACTGTACAACATTAGGATTTTAAAACCTAAGCGGTTTTGGAGAATGAAAGAAATCCCTCTCTTAAGAGTTTATTAAACTTTGGAACGAAAACCTGGGAATTCGTTCAGGAATTCACGAAAAGTGAGGTTCAGAGTATTAAGATATAAGATTTTAGAGAAAAACCTTAGAAAGTTCATAATTTCCGGTGTAGCGAAAAACCCGTTTTCGTACTGGAACTATATCACAATTAATTAACGCACTGTACCTTGATAAAAGCTACCAGCGTTAATTTAATGAACACAGTACTTCGACCAACTCAAACGGGAACTTCGTTACGAGAAATTATAACTTCTGCACCACAACAAGAAGGTAAAAGTAATTGCTTTGATTTGTAGCGTCGTGTTTTAACCGCCGATGAGCTGCCGAAAATAATTGTGAAGTTTCTAATTGTTCCCGTAGAGATATGTAAATTATGTTTGTAGCATCCGATAGCCCTCGGCATGATGGGGAAGCAGGGGAAGAATTGGTATTTTAGGATTTCAGCACCGTTAATTAATTATTAACCGATTTTAGTTTCCCAACGTTAGGCGAAAACGAGAATTAAAGCTGTAAAGTCGTTCAGTTTATTTCATTATCGCTGACCTTTTGCGAGTGATCCGAAATGTGCCGTAATTTTGTTTTAGACATTCGCCAGCGACCGCCACCATTTGCCCGCATGATCCCTTAGTCGCACAAGATACGATATCAGAATATTTACATTTGAAAAAGTTTTTAATCACCCCCAACTACTTACAATAAAATCGTAGTCAACTGATGAAGAATTTAATTGGCTGTAATCAGTTCCTAAGTACAGAAAAACTAACCAATCGCATTGGAGAAACTGTACTACTTCCGTTTACTGGCCTAGGGAAAAAGGGGTTGCTTTCAACTTCTATTGGAAATTAGACAATTGATCGCCCATTTGAACAATAAAGGCACTGTTTAGTGGGGATAAAGGGTTTAGCATAAAAAATTAATCCTTGCCGATAGGACCAAACGACTACCTGTTACATAATCTCCGTCTACTGTCCGACGGTGTAAGGGTTTCTAGCATAACAGAAATAATTAGTCACCTTCAGAGTCAAAGTTTCAATTTATGATAGGGCCAGACCCGAACTACTTACAATAAAGTCGTTAAGTTTGTCCGAAAATGATTTTACATGCATTTAACTTTGAAAACCGAATCTACATAAGAATGAACATTAGAGGGTAAATTAATAAAAGTCTCAGTGTAAAACTTCCGTAGGAATGTCTAATTAGCGAAAATGTTTAGCAAACCCTTAAAATTTTCACCCCCCAAAGCACTGGCCGCGCGCGTTCGTGTTACACGAGTGTTGTTGTTGCTCGACAAACAAAGGGAAATTTTGTTCTTTGTAAATTTCTTTGTATTTGCATTCCTCAAATCCACCTGACGCGTAATCGTTTATCATCGTGCCTTTGGATTGTACCGCAGCTAAATATTTTTGGGGGTAACCTCTACGGACACGACCGCTGAAGCAATTGTGAAAATGCAAAGAGAATAAATTTCTCTTTGTCAACTTTTGGCAATTTTGTAATTGTATGAAAATAGTAGTCAAATTTCATTTAATCTCTGTTTTGAGAAACTTGTTAAAGCGTTTTCGCTTCTCTTTGTGGTTGGTCATTGTTAGCAGATACGAATCGTATTAACAAATAACGCGGAACTCGGACGTGAAATTTGAAGTTGTGGGTTACGAAAATTCCTTTAGCTTAAGTAACTATTAGGCTGTTTTTATTCTGATAGCTTTTTGAGTCACTGAAGCCTAATGAACTACAGGGCGCAACGGCCTTGTTGAGCTTAAGAAAGACCTTTCCTGCCAATCTGTAACAGACAACAACACAAACAAACAAATAGAAAGGATAGTGAATAGCGCAGCACATAAAATATTGCGTAAGCAATGCTAACGTCTGACATGGATATAAAAACTGTAATTAACACATTAATAATAATAAATTATTCGAAAGACGTTACACTAGCAAAAGCAGAATTTTACAACCGTCGGGGTATAAAAGTCTAAACGTGCGTTAAATTCAAGAAAGTAAATTTCTATTGTTCCAATCAATCCAAAACATAACCAAGATTATATGAGCCGACTTCAGAGTAAAACAAATAATCCGGAAAAAAGATCACAAAACCTTCCCCATAAATTTCATTTATTATACAAAGATATAAATAATCAATGGCGACATGTTTCGGCACATGCCATCATCAGGCCCTAGAAATGTAATGCTTTAACAAATTTGAGTTCACCTGTAGCGACGAAACTTACAAAATAAAGTTCGACCGAAAACGGTACATGGTCGAATTCCATAAAATTTAAAAGGTACAAAAACCCTGAAGGGGAAAAAGTCCTAGACAAGTTAAGGGTCCACAGTCCTGACGGGGGGAGACGACCGAAAGAGAAAATTGGGGATTATTCCATAATGTTTCTAAATCGATCGATCGTGACAACAAATCAAGTCTGGCTTGTTCTCCCTCTCTCCTCTTTTTACGTTTACTAAAGACCAAGTTCGGTGTTACTATTGCTATATCTCCTTTTCATTCGTTTTGGCTAGTATACAAGAACCCTATTATTCTCCCCTACTCACGTCACTCTGCCTGAGCTTACCGTGTCCTCATCACGTTATTGCATTATTTTTGCTACGTGCGTATTTTTTGACCATCATTAAATTTCTAATAGATGCAATTATCGCTGTCCTTCAATAACAAATTTACGTAGAATGGTGATAAATACATACATAAACTGGTGTTGTCAAAATTAGAGCAATGTCGTTTTGAACGTAAACCAAAAAATAATTATTAGCGTACCTTTTATCACCTTAGATGCTGGCGTCGAATCTGCAAACAAAGGAAAACATGTTAAAATACTGTGTTTACGCTATTAAAAAATAGTAGAGTAGTCGGATTTTTCTTTTAGTAAAAGCGGATAACAAGCTCGTCCGTTCGAGGTTTCAGATCTCAACTGCTAGAGTTCGTAAATAATCAAGGATTCACATTTTAAGTCGTTGTACTCAGAAACATAACCGCCTAGGACAATGGTGTTTTCCGAATGGACCCGGTGGAAAAATCCCATTTTCTTAAATAAAAAGTATGAAATGCAAAAGCATTTCTTCAAAGCTCTGAACGAAAAGTAGAAATCATCACCTGGGCGAATGCAAAATAAAAAAATTATAAAGTTGTCCCCTGAGCTTAAGGAATAATTAGAATCGAGAGCTCAAAGCGTTTTAGGCAAATGCGAATGGTCATTTTAAATTCCCTCGTCCTCATGTGGGACATCAATAATTAAAAAGCACAATTTTTCTTTCAAATGAATCATCATCAATTATTCGCAAGGGTCCAGCACAAACGAACAAATATCATTTTCCAGCAATGGACATTAAGAAACAATTTTTAACGATAACTCACAAAAACTAAAATGTTTATTTCAGTACCTAATCAATAAGTCCATTTTTCTCTAACGAGTGCATGTCGGCTCTCGTTACATGTCCATGTTTGTCTATTGATTGGTAAAAAATTAATGTAGCCCATTATGAAATATGAGTTAGCGAAACGTGTAATTTTTATGTCATTGCATTTTAGTTATTTTTATTTCGAAGGAAGTTGATAAAAGGACTAATGGATGTTGATTAATGGATTTATGTATTACAAACAGTTTTTATCTCGGTCTAATTAAAGCAAATCCTAGGAAAATTGTGACATTAAATGAGGTAGAAGAAACTACTTTAAAATTTGAGACGAACACGATTCGAAAGAGGCTATCAAATTTTCAGAAAATCAGGTTCAAACTCAAGATGGAATCCTGAACACAATTTTGAAACGTGCAGTGCCTAAATTACAAGCCTTTGTTTCAAACTTGAAGCGCCACGCTTGAAATTCCAAGCTGGAAGTCTCAATTTTACCGTTCGATTCTTCGGGTTTAGGGTTTAAAGTCGAGACGTGGTTACTTTTTGTTTAGTCAAAACCAGAATCCCCCAAAAAGAGAACTATATTTTTCCGGTAGCCCAAAACCGAATGCCCGAAAAAATCTCTCTCTAATTTAATCCCTACCTATTTTGTGAATTAATTAACAGAATTATCTACTATAATCGCCAAACCTATTATGAGGTAGAGAATATTATTACGAAGAAAAAATTACTACGACTTCCACACAAACCTAAATTTACTAAATTTTTGAATTTATTAACCCACCCTATATATAATCTCTGCTATCACCATGCCCACCCCTAAAAATCTCCAAAAATTCAACTTCGAAATAAATAATTCCAAATTAAAAGCTTCCGGTACAGCCTTCAGTCTATGAACCCAAAAATCGACTTCCTAAGAAACTATTGTTGGTCGATCCACCGTTGATTAGTCGCCTTTTACGACATGCAGTGTCTCTGCAGTAGGATTATTCTTTCCCCGCTCTACAGGGGATAATGCCAAAAGGAAATAGGAAACTCACCAACGTGCCATCGTTGGCATATCCTTATAAACATTTTAGTGGCACCTAAGGATCCTGAAAATGAAAGACCTTTGAACGACTGGCGCTTAATAGTTCCCAAATATTTAATGATTCTTAAATATCATTTAAATCTTAAAATTTCCGAAAGACTCTCTGACAGAAAAACAAATTTCAAGAACTAATAGATTCTGGAAGGTTCTTTGAGGGTTTTGGAAGGCTTTGGAAACAATCTATGATTCCTAAGTCTCTTAAAATGGCGATAAGAGACTCTTAAATCCTTTAAACCCTTGAAAACGTTTGGACACTTCTTAAAGGTTAATAACTCTAAATGCGTTTAGGGGCCAGTCAGGGATGGCTTTAATGACGAAGAGCATCCAAACGTCTTAAAGAATCTTTTAAAAGGGCTCGTGAAAACGTTTCTAAAGACCAATATAAGTTACTTTTGATTTCACTTGAAAACTCGTTCTCACGCAATTAAAGTAAATGCTCTAAAACCTTCTTCAAAACCAATGAAGGTCTTTAAACCTCTTACGGTCTTTTAAATACATTGTTGCTCGCAAGTGTCTTAACGTTAAACGTTGCTTATCTTTAAGAAAAATCATCGTAAATGATATTTCAAGAAGTTAAGAATCATCAAGGAAAATTTTGATTTGTTTGCTCTTAAAGATATCAATCTCTAAGAAAATTGAAGCCGTTTGCATTGCATGTAATTTGCAACTTATGAACCCGTTAGAATTTTAGAGTTTTCCATTTAAAGTTAGTTTGTAATAACGAGAACATCGCGACCATCTCTAATCCTAAGAAGTTAATCCTTTCGGAGAGGACGAATTCTATTACAAATGTCATTTCTGCTAAAAAAAAATTCCGTCAAACGTTTCCACGGTTGGTACTCTCGATAAAATTATTCCGTATGGGTCGGCGATGATCGATTGTTCGCATTGGACTTATTAGTCGGAACTGATGAGATAAAAAACGAAAGAGAAGAATATTAAATTGGAACGGCATATTGATTTTGCTACTCATTAACTACGACTGCCATCAATTCCGAAATCGAGCCCGATTCGTTAAATAAACATGTCGGGCTTTCGCCGTGCGAATAATAAAGTTCTCTTCCTTAGCGACCCGCGTCATTACAGATAGAAATACTAACCAAAAATAAAATAGGAGGAATTTATATACCCAGATACGAACCGTAACGATAGCCTAGAGACCAAATTATTTCAGCGATTTCAACTTGATGGCCCTCCGGTTTCACCTTAAAATAATAAATGGACGGCGATAACGAAATATATGTTGCGACCGCTTATGTAAAGCTAAGATTACCATAAAATCCACATGTTAGATATCTAAATAAGTTTTCCTGACGCCAGCTCAGAATCTGGTGCCCATATCAAAGCGCCTTACCGATTCATAATTTTTACGTAATTTGGAACTTTTCGAGGATTTAGGTCAGCAATATCTTTATGTGTTTGCAAAGTCAAACCGCACTTCTTCGGCGGTAACGTAACAAGCCATATTCCAGCAGTAGTAATTACAAGCGAGCTACCGTTAAATCCTCATACCTCGCGTACTAAAATACACAGATCCTTTGATTAGAAACGCACCACGTCAGCTACAAATTAAACGTAATTTTCTTTATAATTAAGGTCGGATTTGAAATCTCAATTCTGCGCGATGAGTTTTCGTGACATTTGTTCAGGGCGAATTTGTTATACGGAGGTCGGACTTTCTAAAGCTCTCCCTAATTAGTTTTCTAGGTAATCCGAAGGTTTGTTAATGTAGACTAGGTGGCTACCGTTTATATTCATCGTGATTTACTTACTTTTGATCTAGACGAAAAAGCGTCCTGCATCTGTAATACTTTGAATCTGAAGCATCCGAAGTATTCAAAGAGTTAGACAAATTCGAAGGATTTTAGGAATCTTCTGGATATATGTAATTCACAGAACTTTAAGTGGCAGATGAAGTTAAAACTGAAGAATACGAGGATCTCTATAATATGAAGAATATTAACTCAAAAGTAAGGTTCGGGGTAGTGGAACCATCCGTATGAATAAGAAACCTATGGGTCTAAAGAATTTGAAGAATCATATAGTTATTTATTATACAAGACGATCAAGGGATATTTTAACCACCGAGTGAATTAACTTTCACGAGATTATCGTGTAAACAAAACTTTATATTATGGTAGAAGTAACAGAAATCATTATTATGCTCGCCAGGAGAGAATGCCGGTCACTGGACAACTGATGCCGATCTACAATGGTATGGTTCATTATAAAAAACATACGATTGTAGACTGGAATCGGTACAGTGACTATAGCGACAGTGTGGTCATACGGTGATGTTATTTTCTATTGGTAGTTGGGAGATCCGCCATGTTTTGGCCCAATACACCGGATTGGTGGAAATTAACCTGGCAACCAAGCTCAATCATAAATTGGAAAATCATAGTCCACGTGAAGCATTATGGCCCTTAATAAGTCACTGTAGAATCAGGTGTTCTGTGATCGGCATTCTGTCCTGGCGAGTATAATATAAAAGTTCTGTAGATATTTAATTCAGACGTCCAGCAAGTTTAGGTCCTCCCGTCATTTCCATGGAAAGAATATTGTTTTCGGTTCTGAACTTCATTTTATTTCGTGTTTCGCGTCCCATTTTAATAAGAATGACAGATGTCACACTAAAAATCTGGAAGGAATGTTCAAAATGCGAAGCCCTGACCAACAGATAATAGGTACCAGCTTTCCGAAGAATCTGCCCTTAACAGAAAGAAGTCGTACAACTTAAAAAAACGGAAGAATCTATAGGATAGAAAGAACTGGAAGGCGAGGGGTAAACCACTGAACATAAATGTGTACACCAGAATTCCAAAAGTGTAAAATAATTCCAGAATTCCAAAAAAATTCCATGAAACTTCCAAAAAACTGCCAAAACTGCAAAAGAATTCCAATGACTTACAGTTGACTACAGTTTTCAAGATATTTAGTTCGTTCTTTTTGCATTCGGTAGCGTATAGCTCTGGCACCTGAGCCAAGGAAAATCTTGACGATTAAACTGCTCATTTGCAGGCTGCGTAATATCAAATGTCTTATTTATCGAGCTATTTTCGAGGATATCTGTTTGAAATTTTAGTCACAAATGCTTCTGTCGTTAAAGACAAACACATCTGATATTGCAAACATTAGATGTGCGCATGCGCAGTCAGTGCCAATTTCGTTATTTATGAAAATATTATTCTTTGAAATTTTAACCACATATGCCTCTAGTACAAGAAAAACATAGGGCACATGAAAAATGCCCTGAAGTTACTCGCCTTACGGCAAAAACCTTTTTACTTGTTTTGTATAGTGATCCTTAATAACCGATAATTAAATAATATCATTGACGTTTT